TTTTGGCCTCATTCCAAGTGACCCATTAGAGGCAGCTTGGCCTGCAGTAGTGGCATCGAGACTAGCTACAGAAGTCCTCAGAGAGAAATACCCCTCCATTACCAAGCAAAACAGACGTTGGACACGAAGATTCGTTATCACAGAAGTCCTCAGCGAGAAATATACCCCTCCATTACCAATCACACTTCATACCCAATTCACAACTAAGATTCGTTATTTAGTAAGACCCATTCAGAAACCCAGTTCAAAAACATAGGGTAAGAATCGTAAGATGAACAATACCTGGAGCCTGGCGGAGTGGGCTTCTCGTGGCGGAGAGCAGGTGATTCGCGAAGCTGTTGGCGAGTATTGAGGAAGCCGACGATGGTTGCTCCCCGGATCGCGAGCAGAGCAGGAGATCGGGAGGGAGAGGACGAATCGCGAAACCGCCGGCGGTGTTGAGGGGGTGGGCGACGAGGCAAATCGACCAGATGCCCAGACCCTCTTGTTCTTCGGAATCTGACCGATTGAGAGGGATAGGAGGAGCTGGCGTCTGGCGAGTCGCGAAGCCGTCGGCGGTATTGAGGAAGCCGACGATGGTTGCTCCCCGGAATCCAATCGATCAGAGAAGTGAGAACAGAGAAGGGTCGACGGCGGTCTGACGTCTCGAGATCGAGAGTGATAGATAGGAAGAGCCGAAGAGCTGATCGAGTGACCGTGGGCGTCTGGGCGATGCTTTTTTTTTTTTTTGTCGTTTAATTACTTGGGTTTGGGTTTTTTAACCCAAATCCATGGGTAAAACCCAACTGGACCCAACATTATGGGTATGGGTGTTGACCCATTAGACTTTACCCATTTAAAGTTGACTTGGATTTCAGACCTGACCCACATGGGTTGGATATTTAAAACCCAATGGGCATGGGTAATTCTGCCATCCCTACGTATAAGTACGGGTAGTATAGTGTTATGTGCATTTATTTAATAATATAATTTATTTTATTAAGGGTTGTTACGGGGAGGGATTATGACGTAATTAGTGAGTTAGTGGTTAGCTAAGATTAAAGGAACTATAATAGTGTTTAGAGCATCCATGTCAATCCAACTCTTTTCTTGTAGAAGACTCGGCCTAGCCATCAAACTGCTGCTCGGGTTCCTCTCATTGATTTTCTCCGGAATCTCGAGCATGTAAGGAGTTCACATTTTTCATCTGAAAAAATGTTTCCATAGATGTGATTTCCCCCATTTTCACGGGATCTCCAGGAGTACCTCTAAAGAGAATGGGATACCACCGGTAAAATTTCAAAAATAGTTGAGGAAAGGAAGGAAATCTTAATGATCTAACCAAAGTACAAGGGATTGGAATCTCCTCACTGATTTTTCTTTTCCCGCAAATGCGCTGACATGCAAGTCAAGATAGGTTTGTGGTCAGACTTCACCAACGGGTAGCCATTGGCACACTGGTTCGTTCCTCAATGGCTCTCACAACAGTACTCCAGAGCTCAACTCTGTCATGTTCATTTGGACTCGCATGAACCATTGTTATGTGGTATGGCACACTGCCCGTCATTGTACATTTGAGGTGCATATACTGTTTGTGCCTATCTAGCACTTCCATCTCCATCCTTTTTCTATTCCATAGGCTCTGAATCCCAACCGATGAAACTCATGGCATATGAAACTTCTTCCAAAGCATCGAAGCCTAGTGACATGATGACTGATTCAGCCTTCTTGCCGCGAATTCTAGGTTCAAGAATGCAGAGCACACCATGTGCAAAGTTGGCTTGGTAAAACTCGCAGGTAGAGTGAACTTAAGGCGTTTTGCACTCTTGAAATTCTAGGTAAAGGTTTTAACAATTAATAATGTAACAGTTGAGAACCTTCCCTACATAGTGTCGACTGTTGATAATCTATCGAATAAGGGGCTGGTGCAACCGTGCATGGATGGTCATCTTCCGCACACCTGGCTCAACCACACAAAAGTTATTTCCATGGGTTTCTTAGGCATTTTCATGTTGTTTTTGTACCCCTCCCAAGTTTAGTTCAAAGTTGATATTCCTTGGGTAGCTTCCTCTAGTTTCTTGGTTGCTCGATTTCATCTATGGGGTACCAGTACTTTACTTACTCACCATCGGTTGCTTGATCTTGGCTTGGTGCCTTGATTTCGCTCACGTGGTTGGGTCGTGTCACTTCCTGTCTTTTGTGATCAGGTACAAACTGTCCTTGGTCCTTCTTTAGTATTCTTCAACTTGCTAACGCTGGCCGGGTAATGAATTTCCTTTGGCTTGACTCGTATTCTCGTTGTTTTGACCGTGACGATTGTTGTTTAGGTTTATTGGCCGAGATGCTAGCCTTGGATTTTTGCAGGTTGTTATTCGGGACTGATTTCTGGTTCTCCTTTTTTTTTTTTTTGATTTTTCCAAGTTTCTTTTGCTCATTTGTTGTTTTCCCCTCTTTGATTCTTCTATTTTTTTTTCTCTCCTTTGTATTTTCCTTTTGTATTTTCCTTTAGACTTTCCTTCTTTCTACTCTCTCCCTTTGGTGTATTGTCTTGCTTTCCCTTGTGCCAGTGTCTTCTTGAATTTTGTTCAACAAGAGATGTATTCACCTCTTCCACCTTCACCTCATGCTCATCTTTCTCTTATGCCAGGGCACTAAACCTTGACCCTGACTTAGTGGACTCCCCAACCTTTGTCACATCTTTGTTGCCCCTAGCCTGCTTGCTATTGTTGCTTAGTTTTTTCTTCTTTGTCATTTTGCAAGCATCCATGACCCGAAGTCTCCAAGAAATCTCGGAAGAACCTTTCGCCCGGCCTAGTGTAGTTACTTTCCTTTGTTTTTTTTTTTCAACGAGGGTTTCTCCATGCTTAATTGTGACCAAGCATTTGTATTCAAAATGTCTGGAGCGCCCACATTCAAATCATATAGTGCGTAATCCCTCATATTTAACTATTCTTATTCTTCTTTTGATTATGTACTTGGATGTGAGTCTTTCCATAGATCAATTTCCACACATATGCCCGCATAATTCCACCTAAAACCGTTTGTTGTATTGTAGCCATTTTTTCCACTCGTTCTAGTTTGTAACCAATATCCAAGAGAAAATCTTTATCAAAATATGCAAGGGGAAGGCGGGGGAGTCTTAACTAGACTATAGGTCTATTGATTGAATTGAAAAAGGGTCAAAATTCAGCCTCCATGGCTCCGGTGCAACATAGTGGTCTTCAATTGTCTAAGACCCTCCATAGAGAGAGCTCTATCGTGATTCAATTGTGAATAAAAAATTACTTGATAGTACATGTATCCATTCCTGATGTTCTCGATTTTAGTTCGACTCGTCTTATCCAACAACCTCTAGAGTCTCATGTTGATGAGGCAAAGGGAAAATTCTTACCCATGACTCGAAAGGTGATTTCACGATTCTAGTGATTGCGAATCTTCACGTTGGTTCTCTTTTTATGTGGATTGTCGGTTAGTTGGATCATTATCCTTGTCTTCTTTGTCTGATTCATCCGACATTAATTCATCACCCTCTGGGATATCAATTGGCGCGTGCGTTGATCCTCAAAAAGCAATCGTTTTAGGAAACCTTTGCTCGCTTTGATACCAAGTCCCTCACAGAAACCGAGTTCTCTGCTTCTTTGCTCAGCTCTTCATAGCTTCTTGCTTAGTCTTGTGCTCTCGCACGTTACAACGGCGTATTCCAATAACCCCTTCGCCCAAAAAGCCTACACTTGTGCTTGCCTCTGCTTTCTTGCTTGGTTGTACATGCGATGAATTTGAGAACCATCTGACGGTTACAAGCAATGGTCATCCTCCGCCATCGAAGGCTGACCTCCAACGATCATTAACGAGAAAAAGTGTAGAGGGAAAATAGGGGAGAGACTGGAAAACTTTCCATCTGTTTCTCGACCTTTCCCATAGCAATCTTGAGATCACCCTTTTTTTTTGACAAAAGATAATCTTATATTGATTCAAAAGAGGTAGAGCGTTACATCCTGGAATACAGCCAGGCCAGAAAATTAAAAGAATGACACGTAGACGGGTACAAAGAAAGGGCCTTTCTAGCCACAGCATGGGCTACCCTATTGTTATTCCGTCCTACAAATCGTAAGCTAAACCCCGGGCGAGAAGCAAGAAGCTGCCTAATTTCCCCCAAAATCATCCCAACTCTACTATCTCTAGTATCTTCTTGGTTGATCTTGTCGATGATGACTTTGGCATCGCCTTCAAATCGCACAGCCAGGAACCCATTGGTCACACACCATGAAAGAGCTTCCCTGAGGACGAGGGTTTCCACCACAAGAGGATCATCAATAGAGTGAAAGCAAATGCCTTTTGCAAAGAGGACATCCTTATGAGGGCCAAGAAGAACTATCCCGCCTGCCGAATGAGACCCCGCCCTTGTAGCTCCATCCCACATACACACCAACGAGGGACCCGCAGGTAGCCCAGCTGGAGGGGGAGGATGAATGAGACCCAGAGTCCCCCTCTCAGCCGACAAACGCTCCCACTCCTCACATTGCTGGTGATATTGGCGCATCAAGGCAGGGAATCCAAATTGCTTGCCTTCAAAAACAACCCAATTGCGGGATTTCCAAATCCGCCATAGAATAGCCACCACAGATAGGACAACAGAGGGATGGTGAATTAGGGAAAGAAGCCGTTTGAGAAAAAGGGGGAAAGTTTGGTGGGGCAACCCTTGCCCGAGATGTTCCAGTCTCGCGTAGTCCCACAGGGCCCTAGTCACTGGGCAGTTCAGAAACACTGAATTGAATAATTTTCACATTGATGCGACAATGTAAATCATAGAATCTCTTCGAATTTACAAATGCTGCAAATCTATCCCAAGATTTTTTCAAAAATCAGATTGTGACCTAAACTATTTTCAAATTCAATAAGGAAACCACTTCAAAGAATAGGATCGGATTCCAAGAAGATGAAAACGATCTTGGGTTTCTAAATTCTCGCAACGAATAGTTGGCCCGGATTGAGCATATTTCAGATTGACATGACTATAATACCCCTGATAAACAAATCGCCTACTTTTCCGCAACAGTTGTAAAAAATATCCAGTCGGGAACACAAAAGCGCCGGCAGAGAGATCAGAGCGAGAAGGGAGAAGATGGCATCTACGGAGACGGCGGCGGCGAAACCAGAGACGCCGGCGATACTGCACAACGAGAAGGATGGGAAGTTCGAGACGGAGGACAAGGAGGCATACCTCCAGTACGTGATGCGGAAAGAGAAAGTAATGGACATCGTCCACACCTTCGTCCCTCCATCGAAGCGAGGTCTGGGTATGGCTTCTCACCTCTGCGTCGCCGCCTTCCGCCACGCCGGCGCCAATTCCATCTCCGTCATCCCCTCTTGCTCCTACGTCTCCGTAAATCTCCCTCTCCCTCACCTGTATACTCTTCTTCTGATCTGATTGAAATTCCCCTATATCACTCAATTGCTCTTGTTAGGTAAATCTATTTTAAGGGCTTAACCGATTATGGTCTGGAGCTGAGATTCCCAAAAATTGCTTTGATTTTGAGTTAAATGATCCGAGAATTGCAAATCTTTTGGATGATAGAATTGCAAATCTCCAGTGGGATGTTGGTGTAGATTGAAACATCATTGACTGTCTTTGCTACAAATTGCCAACCAATCTTAGTTCACCGCAACTCGGCTATGGTGTCGATTTCGGGCGCTGTGAGCAACGTTCTCATAGATGTTGTGTGAACATTGTAGCGAAATTGCGCAGTTCATATGTGCACACCTCTACCCTTGAATTTTTTGACCTAGAACGCTGATCGTTCTCTCCTCTGCTCTGGTTTGACAGGACACATTTCTTCCTCGGAACCCATCGTGGGGATCGATTGTAGACTCCGGAGATCCCAAATCCAGCATATAGCGAAGACGCTGTAACCCACCTGTACCGAATTTCGGATTCAAGAAGACGACGACCGATGACTGTAATAAGTTCACGCTCGCCCACTACGATCGAGGAAGTTCCAACTCTGTTGGAGCATCTTCACCTGTGTAGATGGACAGCTATGTAATGTCATGCTGAATTTCACATTTCATACATTGAAATGATTTATGAATATGATGCAATGAATGATTCAGTTCCAAGCAATAGCATCGTCTTTTCGACTTTACAGAGAAGATACGAACTCAAAACAGCTCCGACTAGTTATTGTACAATTCAAAAGCCCAAACTGTTCTACAATACCTATAACCAGAGCGCGCGGCGGCCAGATCAAAACTTGTTTCAAAGGATGGCTGAGATTACAAGTTTTTTTCACAACAACAAACACACTTTGCTGTTTTGGAGACCGATAGCCCTATTATTACCGTCACTTTGAACAGGAATTTATGCTGCTAACATACAGAGATACATATTTACCGAAGGGCCACACGCGAACGCAATGCTATTATTTACAGATGGAAGAAAAGGGACTCGAGGATAATCTAGCCAGGGACGTAATAATCCATCTTCTCCACAGGTAGGTTCAGCACACAGGTCTCCACCTGGCATTAAGGCACGAAGGACCGTGAGCAATCCAACAATTTTACTGGAAAGACTACTAGTTCCAGGTGAGATTATGATCAAAGTTTTGCAGCGTTGCGTAATGCATACCTCTTCGAAAGGAACAAAGACGAAAGCAGCCAGACCTCTCCGGTGAGATGTACGAGTGATCTCATCCTCCAAGGCATCAACCGCCCCGAGGACCTCCTCCTCCGGTCCACTTATGCCTTCACTGTTCACTCTACTAGTCACAAGCGAGAGCAAATCCATACGATTGTTTGCACCTTGTTGTGTCCCTCTTAACCTACAGCACAAGACAAACACACCACTTGCTCACTACAGGTATGTAGGGAAAGTAGACGGTTGTCAGCCCAAGTATGTTACTTTATGGCCACAAGCTCAAATAATGATGATCTACCACCTGAAGATTCTACCAAATTTATAGTCTCTCTAACATTCATTTAACCATCAGAATATTAGAAGATAAATCAATCAAGGATGTGTGTATCAGGTACCTTAAGCGGATTTTCCATAAAGTAGGACGTAACCCAGGATACAGAAAAGCAGCTTCAACCTGAAACCAAAGGCAAAGGCGAGAGCAGGATAAGAAATGTGGTCTGCACTCTTCAAAACACCAATGAAATGACAAAAATCTCAAAGTAAAAATGAGGGTACAATCAAGAATAACAGAAGGAATCCCAGTTATTTTTGTTGATAGTCAAAGAACAATACCTGATCATCATTCAGAGAGTAACGACCGGTGAATAAACCATCACCTTTAGCTGCTCGAAAGTTCATGTATTTCGCAACATCTTTGACCACTTGAGAAGAATTCTGAAAAATTGCAAATAGTGTGTAAGGAAATGGTACCCCCTTACCAAACTATAGCTTTTCCAGATATCATGAGCATGAACAAGCTTACTTTGTAGAGGAACCTCCCCGAAGATGAAAATCTCATGTAACGGAAATAGCAAACCTTCAAAGAGAGAGAAACGCAGTAGAAAGTCAAATCGTCGTTATAAGTAATGCATGACAACTAAACAAAAAAAAAAAGATATTCTCTTTTGTCTCCTCTTCATCTTTTAAGAAGTTTCTCTTGGTACACACAACTATATCTTGATGGATGCCAACTAGCAACACTAATCAAAAACGTATTCTGCATCCACTGCAAGTCTAATACACAATGGCTGACAGTATGATAACAGTCCGATAGTACTCCACGTGCAGAACCAAACAGCTCAACT